CCACTCGATGGGAAATACTCAAGGGGCAGAGGTGAAAATTTATTTAGTCGGCCGAGTTGCGTACCCAGATACCCATCGGCAAGCGCTTCGAGTTAAGGGCAGTTTGGCTTGAGAAATAGTGTAATGGCTATTAAGCCATTCTTGGAGCAGGAGCAACAATGGTTGTATTGACGTTCTTGTCGTCCTAAGCAAAAATACCCTTGCCACACGGAGGCGCCCAATGGGAGCACGTGACCCATACGTGCCTAACGACCCCCGTACAAAAGGGGCACGGGCCACCCTGACGGCCTATTCATACCCCTCCCGCTCTTGAGGGCCTTGAAAGATTATCTGCAAATTGAAGCTATTCGCCAAATTGAAGCTATTCGCCAGTTTGCAAGCCCTTTGAACGAGCCCTTGTTACAACTCTAGAGATCCTAGTCGTTCCAGTCGCCATTTTTACAGTGCCCTGCCTTACAGCCCTCACACAGGTTGCTCCGATGAGGCTTGTCGTTTTTCCTCTGAGAGCGTTGAGGGGCCTGCACCCGGACGCCAGACCACTTTTTGAGCCAGTAGGCGACCCTCTCGCCGTAGGAGTCGTCCAGGATCGGCTAGCTGAGGGATTCGCACTTTTGACACCGTTGGTGATAGACTATGGCGTTGTATCGTCGCGACGGATACATCTGAATAGTGATGGGAATCATTTTGCTCGCCCATCCCGATAAGCTGGACTCGGCGTTGTGGCATTCGAATTTGCCCATGATGTTGCTATCCCGCTCCTCAGTGGGTGCTGCACTGAGATTATTAAGGAAGGTGAAAAAGAGGCTAACATCTCGAAAGCGACGGGTTATATCGTTATGCAATTCCGGGTAAAGTGACCGCTTTTCCTCGGAATTATTTTTTATTCCTTTTTTTCGGCATGGCCAGAGTTTGTCTGGTACTAGAGGGCTTGGAAGGGTTTCCAACTTTGATAGTAATTTCTTTTGGTCTCAAAAGGTCTGGAGATGGGAGGCTTGAGGATCCAGAAAGACGGGCGGGGCGGACGGGATGAGGGCCCTGCTTTGTGCACAGGACGCGAAGGGGTTCATGCGCTCTCGATCCCGACGCTCCGTGATGGAGGGGACCGTTGGGCTGCGATACGGGTGATGACGCCCAAGTGCCGTCAACATCACAGATATCGTTCTGGCCTCTCGTTAGGTTATCGGTATTGTCACATGTCAAAAGGTTTCATTCCGCCACTTTGAA